ATTTTAGAGCTTGCAAGTCCACTCAGTCCTACTTCTTGTTCAGCCAATTGCTCAGACAAACAAGTTTGTTTATATTTACAGGAGCTAATGCTGCCCTCTTCTTATTTACAATGTCACCAGAAAGTGAGAACAGGCATGTAAATATCTTGCGACGCCGGCTACAACAGTGCCATGAGAGCGCGTGTTCTCACTTTCAGGTGACATTGTAAACAAGAAGCGGGCAGTATTATCTCCTACAAATGTAAACAAACTTGTTTGTCTGAGCAATTGGCTGAACAAGAAGTAGGACTGAGTGGACTTGCAAGCTCTAAAATTTTACATCATTTTATTTTTGAATGCAGGTTTTTTTGTTCATAATTCTTCATTTGTAAGTTCAACTTTCACGATAAAGAGATTGCACTTCAGTAATGGTACAAGGTTAATTGAAAAATACTATTTCTTTTGTTTTTTTACAGTACAAATACTTGTAATCAAAAATAAATATAAAGTGAGCACTGTACACTTTGTATTCTGTGTTGTAATTGAAATCAATATATTTGAAAACGTAGAAAACATCCAAAAATACTTAAATGGTATTCTATTATTGTTTAGCAGCAATTTTAATTTAATTTTAATCGCAATTAATTAATATACTTTTTTTAATTGCTTGACAGCCCTAATTAATACTGATCGTTACCAAGGACCCGCCTCTTGAGCTAGTAAGAGAATTTCTGAATGTACTGTCTCAGGACAATCAAATTGTTTGTGGACTAATTACTGATTTTTCTCAGCAAACAATAGAAGTTAATGCACCGTGATGGCATCCCTGTTCTGTGCATTGCCTTCTGAGGGCCGAGACTGACAGAACTCAGATTGCTTTAGTCACTGGAGTCCAGCCACTTTCTGTTCAGACACTTTTCATCCAAGCCTGAAAAGTTCCCTGAGACAGGAGAGGCAGCAGGGAAGCTCAGTAAGTTAATGTGCCATTCTGCTTGACCACTGTGCGTTCAAGGCTCACTGCTGGGAAGACACCAGATGCGTGGAACCTGCTTTCGAGAGGTAGAACAGAATTCTCTGTCTGTGCTGTATGATGATCATCACATTGGAGATTTTTAAGAGCAGGTGAGAATCACCTATCAGGAACGGGTCTAGGTAATACTTAGTCCTGCCCTGAGTGCAGGGGACTGGACTAGATGACCTCTCGAGGTCCCTTCCAGTCCTACAATTCTATGAACAGAAAAAATGGATCCACAGTGAATCTTTAACGTATGGATGGGCAGAGCTTTTGGGGACAGCATAGAATGCAGCTCCTGGCATCCATATGTTAGGACCCACCATTTCTCCCACCTCTGCCCCGAACAGATTAATAGAGAGGGCCATTTTCTCTTTCAAATGGCATTAACTAGCCCCCAAGGAGAGAGTTCAACACCCACTGAAGGATGCTGCTCTTCCAGCTGAGGCCTAGGGACTACACTCTTTCAGAACCATTTTCCTGAGCTGAAGAGAGCTTGGTCTTTAGCTGCACTCTGAGCCCTGGAGAGGACACCTCCCCCAGGGTTAGCAGGACACCATGGGGCAATTTTGCCTTGCTACGGACTGTGCTGTACCAGTTCTGTGCATAAACAGAGGGTTTCAATCTCCAGGTCTGTCAATCTGGCATTAGAATAGCTCAACCCACCATTCATTACTGGGGGAGTGTCTCTGGCACCTTCATGCCAGCGCCCCAGCCACTCCAGTTTATAGTAGGCCTCACAGAAGAAGGTAACTTATAAAGGACACTTCCTTCTGGTGAGCAATCAGTTAATGCACCCAAAGTACCCTAGGCAGCCCCTTATTTAGTGATTAAAATCAGTATCTTCTTACCAGAGTGCTCTGTGGACAGACTGCTGTGTCTGCTCGGGGATTTGGTTACCTCAGGAACGTTGATGGTTATGCCAAAGTTGTTAGCCAGGCTACCG